TATTTTTTTTTATTTTGATAATTATACCATTAGCAAGATTTTTATTAGTATAGATAGTTCTGAGCAATGATTACATATGTGAGAGTACAACTAGCCACATGTATAACTTTAGATTGTCTAATTTAAGTAGTTTGCTCAAAGGTTCTACACTAGCTGCTATACCTGAAATTTATTTGAAATTCCTTATTTAAACTCTCTAGCTATATGCCATTCCTATCCTACTATCATTTATTACCTAAATTTACCTAACTCTGTACTACTTTCATTTTCAGAAGACATCAACAGAGCTGATATGAATCTACAAACTTTATAATTCAAAGCCTAGGCCTATCTCAAGTACTCTTTTACTAACTTCCTAATCGATGGATGCTGTAGTATCCAACTATGCTATGCTATATTCTAAACTAGCTTGCATATACTTTTGTTTGATATTAGTACAAACCTGGTTTTTACTATGACCTTTCACTGAATCAGTCCTCTATGTTTTTAGATATTTCACAAGACAAATCTTTCTAATTCAGTTAGCTGCAAAGCCAAATTAGTGTTGCTATATGACCTTGTATAACAGACTTACTCGCACCCACTTAGTTGCATTCTTCAGCTACAGATTCTTTTCACTAGATCAGGTATAAACTGGTATAACTATTGAAATTCGTACTATTTCACTTAACTTGGGATTTCTACTATACAGGTCTCCTGTCTGTAGATCCTATTAAGATTTATTTATATAATATTATGCCTCACTAAACACCTCATCACACTTCTAATACCCTGATTGGTATTGGTACAACATGATTTACAGGATTACAACCTCAGAAAAGAGCAGAGTTTTACCCTAAGTTGGATACAGATGTCTAGGTAATTATTCAATTCTGTATACAGTAGGATTTGAACTCTAGACTTCTTGCATGATGGTTTGGCAACCTAACTACTACACTAAGATTACCAGACTGGAACAAATAGACTTAAAAAAGATAAAACATATAAGCAATTAAAAGGATATCTTTTTGTATATAGAAGGAAGGAATATAATTCATGGAATCTACTTTGGATACTAGAAGAACAACTTGATAATATTCAGAATATAGAATTGATAATTAGTGAATATAAAGAATTATTATTTAATAAACTTAGTATTACTCAAAAAAATATTGATACTATTCAGAGTATATTATCAGAAATGATGAGATATTATAAAACTAAAAAAGAAAAAAGAAATTTTTTAGAATTAACAGTTGAAGTATTAGTAAATGGAAATATTGATGTTGATGATATAGAAGATATATCTATTAAAAATATGTATAAATCATTTGAGTTTTATTTTTAATAAAAATAATAATCTATTTATTAAAGTTGTAAATTAATATTCTTTTACAATTAAAACTAAATATTAATGACTGAAAGTTATATTAACATAATATATTAAAAAAACAAATATCATACTAAATACTACAAAAAGATCACCAAATATTCTAATAATTAGTAATCTAAAAATAAATATCAGAATAAAACTTATAGGTAAAAAAAAATCTCTAAAAAATTTTTTCATAAAGCTCTATTTTTTAGAGTAAATATAATTTAAACTAAATTCAAATATCATATTAAAAAATAGTTGAGGAATAAAATTTTTAATTTTATCTAATATATTTTTTATAATACTAATATTTAAAAAATATTCAAATAAATCATCAAGTAATTTATCAAAAAAAGAATTTATTGTTTCTATCAATTCTTTGTACAAACAATTTTTATAAAAATTTACTTGTCCTTGTAAATCATAATTTTTATCACATAAAAAAACAATTTTTTTATCTTTTTGAATAAGTTGATTATGGATAATTTTAAATATTTTTCAAGATTTTTCAATAATTTTTTTCTGATTAATATCAGATAATGTAGCTATTTCTTTTTCAAGTTTTTCTAAACATACAGAAATTTCCTTATCTGAACTACTATTATATGAATTTGAATTTTCTGCATCCATTTAAAATGATTCAAAATATTTTATTTTTAAAAAATCTCTACAAATAACTTGAATTATAATATGATAAATTATTTGAATTCATTCTAATTAATTAATTCAAAAAAACAATAAATCAACTGCTATTTTTATATATATTATCGTAATAATAAACTAAAAAAATAAAAAAATTAAATAAATTAATAAAATAATAATATTAATTAATATTAATTACTTACTTTTAATATAGATTGTAAAAAAAAAACAGAAGTTTAAAAATAATTGAATTGGATAATATTAAAAAAAAATGATAAAATTCTAAAAAAACTTACAATAGTTTTTTTTAAAATTCAGCAGTCATGCTATGACTTTATTTAGTTTTGTTCTTCATATGAGAAACTATATTATTTAGTTTTATACTATCTAATGCCTAATAATTATATAAATTAACAGAAAAACAAATCTATTGGTAAGTAAAAAGAATACGTAAAAAAAATATATAAGAAATTAAAAGTATACAAAATAATACTTTAGTTGGATATCTTTTAGAATATGGACAATTTTTCATAAGATATTCCAAATAATTCATTTTATTTTTATATTTTTTAGATCGATTACTACTTATTTAATTATTTTTTTATTACATGAGTAAACATATTATATTTATTTTATTTTGGTTTAGTATAAAAAAATAAAAACAAGGTCTGGTAATCTTAGTGTAGTGGTTAGGTTGCCAGACCGCTATGCAAGAGGTCTAGAGTTTAAATCTCACTGTCGATGAATTTGAATAATTTCCTGGACTTCTGTACCTAACTTATAGCAAACTCTGTCTGTTTCTGGGATTGTAACCCTGTAAATCATATTGCACCAATGTCAATTGGATATTGGAAGTGCAATGTGACACCTGAAGAATGTAACATTGTACAAATAAATCTTAATAGTATCTATGAACAGGGAAACTGTATAGTAGAAATCCTGATTTAAGTGAAGTAGTATGGATTTCGATAGTTAATCCAGTTAACGCTTGATCCAGCAGAAAAGTTCGTATACGTATATTGTAGATTGAACAGATATGAGTAAGTCTGTCTGACACGCAAAAAGGCTAGCAGTACCAACTTAGCTTAGTGGCTAACTGGATTTAGAAGGATCTGCTTTATAAAACATCTTGGTAACCTTGAAGGACTAAACCAGTAAAGAGCTATGGAAAGAACTAGGTTCGTACGAACATCGACAAAGGTCTAAGCTAAGTAGAACCCATGAAATAGGTATGGGACACTCTAGTAGATTTGCTTACGAGGTTAACTGGCTCTGCAGATACCTACAATATGTTAGGTATAATGTACTCCGAGAGGACCTAAGCTGTTCAGTAGAATAATCTGTAACAAGCTAGCTGGCTTAAGTAGTTAGGTGTTGTGGTGATATTAGTTTGGAATTGTATATGATACTACATAGAACAGAGTATTTAAACAGGTAACTCACAAGCAGGTTACAGGTATAGCAGCTTGTGTAGAACTACTTAGATGGCCTATTGTCTGTTTAGCAGACTACTTAAATAGACAATGACTAAAGTTATACGTA